GTTTAATGGGTACTTGCTCTATGACAGGCACTAGATCAGGGGTAACTATTCACAGAAAAATTAAGTGTAATAGAAGTACCAGAGACTGTCTTTATGTGAAGTCAGAGGATCTCCCAAGCTATTCTTTTCTTTTAGAGAGATATAAAAATAGTCATGTTATTTAATGTCATTTAAAATGAAATTAATTACAGAATATATAATAATCCATTACCTCTTCCTGATTAAAAGAAAAAAGTTAATTGGAAGGCATTAGGCTGAGAGAATTGGTACCTTGAATTAAGTAGGCTATACAAAGCCCAGTACACCCAGTAAATATTTACACTTAGCCAACCAGAGACTTAATCAACTAGAGACTTAACGAACCACAATCTACCAACCTCTAACTAGAGGCTATCAAATAACCTCTAATTAAGACTTTACCAGTCAGAAACCACTAAACTCTTAACTGGAGACTTTCTCCTTTAACCAATTTAATATATTTTCTTTTTTCTTTCTTCACCAAACACATGATTAAATTTTCTCTTATTCTCACATGCAGGGAAGCACTGAACCCTCTGTGGTCTGGTGCTACCCAATGCATGCTCAAATAAACTCTTCTAATTTTTAACCTGCCTAAGTTTATCTTTTAACATTTTCAACATAACGGGTCTCTAGATAAAATCAATTTGCAAAATTTTCATCCGTAAGAGTGATCTTGGGACCTAAAAACTAGTAATTATGCACTCTGAAAAGTGTTCGAAATTCAAAGGCACAAGCAAGAAAAAAATGCCATTCTTACAGCTATTACATATCATTTCATGATAAAGCTACCAGTGTCACTCCATAATTAATATACAATTGGGTCAATGATTCAGTGTTAAAATTCAGATACAAATTCAAGATTTGGTACAATTATTTTCCTTTTATACAACAAATATTTACAGAGTTATTATCATGTGCAAGAAACTGTTACCAAGTGATGAATAAGATATAGGCTAGTAGGAGAGATTAAAAGAATTTCTTTTCTCAGAAAAATAGATATTGTGCTTTTGCACTGGCTAAACATTTTTTCTCAAAGAAACAAATTTACGTCCCACAGCAATACCGTGCCCTTTAGAAGCCACTTATATCACACAAAAAATATTTTTCATATCTTAGAGCCTTTATTTGCTACTATTTGAAAATTTCATTGAACATGAAGTTGTATTCTACCTGAGAGGAGAGACTAATAGTACCACAGCAAGGAGAAAATTGTTGTACTACATTAAAAGGGGAATGAGTAGTACATAAAGCATGATGATCTGAGATAAAGAAAACGTCCCAGTAAAACATCTAGAGAGATCTCACATGAGCTGTGGACAGACCCTGAATTTAAAGAATTTACTTAAACTGCATCAAAGAAACTCGGCTAAGCTCATTCATCATCTAAACGTACAGCCATTTTAGTAGCATTGCATGTAATTATATATTTTAATTGTAGACCCCATTTGAGCTCGAGTTAGCTGCTGATGATTCAGAAGAAGCATTCATGTTTGGCTGAGGTTCCTCATGCTATCACTAACAAATTCAGAAGATATGTAATTAGCATTTTGGCATTGCATTTCTCTTCAATTTAGATTGGGGGCATTCTTATACTCTCCAAGCCAGGAACATAATCAGGAAAACAGTATAATATGAAAAAATGCAAGAATACTGATTTGGGGCTGGGCATGGTGGCACATGCCTTTAATCCCAGCACTCAGGAGGCTGAGGCAGGAGGATCACTGTGAGTTCGAGACCAGCCTGGACTACATAATGAGTTCCAGGTCAGTCTCAACTACATAGTGAGACCCTGTCTCAAACCGCCCCCCCAAAAAAAGAAAAAAAACTGATTTGGAAGAACTAAGCTCAAATCGAGGGTCATAATTTACAAATTGATCCATAAAATGAAGGTGATAAAGAAAACAAGCAAATGAAAGCACATGTAGACTTTCCTTTGTAAACCACTGAAGCAGGAAACTGTGAGGACCCCAGACAGACCACTCAACACGAAGATAGGAGCAAAAAGTGGCTTTTAACGCTAGTGGCTCAGCAAGTGACTCTTGTGAGTCTCAAGAGCTTTGAATAGAAGTTTGTGCTTCTTTATATCTTTTCTTCATATCTGTGAAGCTTAATTCCCCTGGAGTTTACCTGAAAATACAACAAACGGGATTTACACAAATTACAGCAGCAGAGGTGGGTAGAGCAAGGTTCTGGCAAGACTTTCTGAGTCCATTATGCTCCTTTGGTGACAGATTACAGAAGTTGTCATGGCTACTCAGGTACATTCTACAAAGAGCATAGTTAACCCATAGGCACCTAATAGCACAGTTAACGTATAGTTGCCCAATTTCAGGAGAGAAGTGGTCTCTCACTACAAAGTAAACAGATGTAAAAACATTGCTTTGTAATTGCAAAACGAATTAATAGGAGATAATTTTACATTTAATGAATACTAATCTCAATTTTGATGACCCAAAATATGTGGTGTTATATCTGTCAAAGCTAAAATCCTACTATAAAATTATGTCAAAACAAATATTTTAGAATCCTGCAGGTAAATGTATATTTATGAAGATCACCAAAGTTTTAACTGAAATGAAAAGTAAAGAGGAAATTATAGTTCAAGGCGCAAATCAGTTTTTAAGGTGAAAAAAATGTTTTAAAGTTCCTGTCAATCGTCAATAGCTTGCTGGTTTTAAAACCACTCAAATTTAGCTTAATGATAAAACTTCAAATTGTGTTCAACCATGCTGATATTACATGCAAATGCACGATTCCTCATTACAATGAAAATACTCGTGAGATTACTAAGAACTAAAGTAACTTTCAATTTTGCCACATTTTTTTCATTACTATATGAACTTTGGTCAAATTAAACATTTATTATAACAAGTCCATATGATACTAATATTTATTATATTTATCTATATGAATTAAATTTTAGCGAAAAATAGTGGAATTCATTTGGTCCATTGATGGTTTCACGTATAAAACTTTAATAAGAATATTAATTTGGGACATCATTTCTCAAATAATGTACAATATGGAGAAACATGAACCCAAAGTACCATTCAGGGCCACATAGAGATTTATGTTTTTAGTCAGATCAGGCACTTTATATACATCATATTATATAATGTATTGCTTAACAATAATATGTACTGTCTTCTGGTTTGTTTTTCTTATGACTTTGACACACTTAGAAGATTTCACTTTGTAAATGCTCTGGAAAGTCATTTCTGCCTTTCTGGGTCCATGGGGATGTAATAATGTGACATCCAGAGCTTATCCAGATAAGAAGAGAGCAAATTACTTTTGCTTCTCTGTTGAAGAGGAGAGAAAAATTCTTTATAAGTCCTCAGAGAGCATCATAGTACTCTTCATAGATTAATCACAGGGCCACGAGCTCCTAGGAATGTGACTCTAGGGCAAATCACACTAGTCCTTCTCATATTTGCACAGGGGTTGAGTCAGGTTCAAGGAAATCACTCAAAGAGGAAATCTCTTGATACTCAGGTGAAGTAAAATCCTGCAAGAGGCCTGCAATTTCAGGGAACCTGCTTTGATGGTTGGGGTTTCAGTGTATACTGGCTCATTTTGTGTCATAATCACTTCTTTTGCCCCTTACTACTTCTCAAGAATCTCTCCTAACCATAAAACTGAGAACCGAAAATCACAAAGCAATCACCCTAGTTATTTACAATCATAGGGACGACTCTTGGTCAGGGCAACCTTCCTGGATCATCTCAAAGGGCCTCAGACACAGAGGAGTCCTGGACTTGGTGTAATGCTCCACCCTCTCCATCTTTAAATTCTTAAAACAATGCTTTCTGAACAGGAGCTCCATTTATTTATTAATTTGAAGATCTTGTATACAAACCCATAAAACATTTTTAACACAAGAACACAACCCCATTTTTCATTCTTATTGCACTCTTACCAATGATAAGAGAACCAAAGAAATTTAGGGGTGGAAATTATAAGGCTGACGCTAAAATGAGCCTAATTTTCAACAGAAATTAAAATGTAAGTACTCTGTGGTATTATAATTCAGGGGCCCTTTTCTAGAATATTTGTCATTTCTGCTTTTCACCTGTGTTAGAGTATTTTGAGATAATAAAATATGGTTTTCTAGCCCTTTCAAACTAGACATACCATGTAGCTACAAAGTCACTATAGGTTTTTATTTTTATTTTTTTAAATGAGAAAACTTGGGTGCAGATCAAGGTGTTGAATCATAGTCTGTCTGTTAGTATGAAGGAATAGGGCCAGTCCTAAACGAGGTGAAGATTTTGAAGTTTTTGAAGCATTCCTCTCCTCCCTTTCATCATCATTCTATCTTACTATATTTGTACCTGTTCTTCCCCATGCCAAAGAGAGATTCATGGAAAACTTGTATATAAAGTCTTCTTCCTTTGCAATGTGATTTGAGCCAAAAATCTACATCCCATTTTGTGCTTTGTTGACTCTCACGGTTAGCAAGCTGATCACTAATCCTGCTAATTATTACCTGGTACTAACATTAAATTTTTATCTTATAGTGGGATGCTATTTATTTTAGTATTTAATGCCACACAGTCTTTTTCTTTCTTTTTTTTTTCTTTTTGAGGCATATCTTACTGTATAGTTCAGGTTGGCCTCAAACCCACTGTGATCCTTCTGCCTCCGCCTCTGGAGTGCTGGGGTTACCGGGTACACACCATCGCTCCTAGCTACTAAGACTTAAAGATACAAAGATTTCTAAATCTAAATTTCTCCTGGGGCTATCACAAAGCCCAATGACAAGCCAGTGGGTGCTTCCTAAAGTCCTTAGACTATACCAGCAACTACTTCTGAATCTGAGAGCTGCTGTGAGGCTATGTGTGGCCAGCGACAGAAGAAAACATCCAGCCATTTGCTTCATTCATGCTGAAGTTGACTGTTTCAGTAGGTCATCCACATGATTAGTCAGACCTTGTCATGCTGTTCCGCTCAGTGCACATGCTAACATACAGAACATGTAATATACTTTATATCACCCAGTACTTCTTCCCTCATCCTCTTGTTGACTTTGCTTCCTAGGTCATAGAAAACAGAAGTAATCCCAAGCAAAATTTCACAAGCTTGTACATCTCCCTCCTGCCAGCAACTGCACCCTACAGAGTCCTGCTTTGCCTCCTTTCCTTACAATGAATTGTCCAGTGTAGGGACACCGAATCCCATCATCACTCATCTGCTCAAGGTCTTTACTCCACGGATTCACTCCTTACTTTGGTAAGACTCATCTGCATGCAAATTTACTGTTATTTCTCTTGCCTTAAAAAATGGTAACCACCATCTCTCTGGACCCTTTTCATTAGCAATACCATCCATTTCTGTTTCCCTGTCCATCGGAACCTTTTGAAAAAACTTATCCTTGCTGTTTCAACACCTTATCTCCCATCTTCATTTACCTTCTGTCACCAAGTGTTCATCCCAAATCACTCCACCAAAGCTGCTTCTGTTAGGTTCACCAGTGACTTCCATGTTGCTCAACCTAATGGTTTATCCCAGACTTCCTGTCATCTGACCTCTCACCACATCTGAGACGGTTCATCACGCCCTTCTTGAATACTTCCTTTGTGTGGGCCCCATACTGTCCGGATGTTCTTCCTGCCTCCTACTCTTCCTTCTCCTGTCCCTTGCTGACTTTCCCCATCTCAGGTACTGTCCCCTCTGCCCAGATGGCTCTTTCCCCCAGCTATCTGCACAGGTTTTTCTTCATGTTTCTGTTGAAATGTCACTTTCTTGCTGAGGCCTCTCTTGACCAGCCTACTGAAACTGCAAAGCCCTTTCCTACCCATCTTCTTTCAATTGTCTTTCTCTGTGGCACTATCATTTTTTAACCATATTTTTTAAATTTATCACCCATTTCCCTCACCCCCAGAATGTAAGCTTCATGAGGGATGGGATCCCTTCTGTTACTTGATGTATCTTCAGTTCTCAGGTCAACTCTCCTGGAGCCACAGAGGGAGCTCAATAACCATTTGCTAAATGTATAATATATCTACTAAAGAACACAGCCTAACCACGGTCTTCAGAAAACCAGTTTTCCAAAGATAGGCATCATGTTTACAACTAAGGATGTCTCTCTCTTCAGCTCTGCTTCACAAGGCTGTAGGAATGCTTGAAGGCAGTGTAGTATGTGAGTGCATGGTGGACCAATAGTCATCATGACCTCTTCCTTGTCTGGTCAAACCACTGACCTTTGCTCTTTTAGCTGAACTTGTGAAATGGATATAAAATGCAGAACTTATACTCTTTGCTCAATGCATTCTTTTAAATTCATCATTATATAGTTTCATTTTCCTCATGATCCCTCTTTTTAAAATGGTATTATAAAAATTAAGCTTAGGACTTAACTACCCACAAAATAAGTCTTCGAGATTAGTGTATTGTCTCTTGTATTTATTCTACATTTTAGTCATATCAGATAACTTCACATGTAAAATAAATATTTGCAGCCTACCACAGTAATACATTTTGCCTTCCTCAGAGGTTGTAGCAAAAAAGTGAATTCTGGAAATGCCTATGTAGACCATAGCAATCCATTCTCACGCTGAGTGCAGGCTGCTTCCTGAGAAGCAGTGCCTCAGTCTATCAAACAAGATGATACATTTGAGAAAATCTGAGCAAATATCTGAAAATGTGCAACTTCATTCTCCCAGTTCTGATGTAGAAAAGAGCAAACTGCTTAAGTTACTCATCCCCCTTCCCCAATTATAACACTAAAAAATACAAGAAAAATTTGTAAAATTTATTCGCAAGCAGCAGTTGAGATGAATAAAACATCTGGCATTGGCATCTTGCCTCTGAATTTGATTTACAAAAATATCAGTGAGCTCAGTCTTCTGTATTTTGCTATTTCTTTGGGGGAATGATTAAGAGTCTTTTTTACAACAGTACTAAAACTTCAGATTTTGATGTCATTTATTACAGTATCGCCTGGAATTCTGAAATGGTTCTGTCAGGGGTGATCTGGGCACTTCTGGACTTGACATATGATAGTAGTTGGGTAACCGAATGTCGTAGTGATATTTTTTCCCAATATATACCCTATCATTCAAGGCATAGAGTTTATCTGCTATGTCACTGCCAATTAAAACTGAAAACAGGCGGGAGATGTAACGGTCCTGAGCAAAGAGCAAGTATAATTTCTTTCTCCTCCAAGACACATATCGGCAATCAGTTTCTGCTGTGAGGGTTACCTAAAAAACATAAGACCACATGAAACAGAAATTAGTAAGCATGAAATCCCATCACATTTTTTTCTGCCCCAAAGTTTAAATGAATTTTACTTGCTTCCTTTTTTCAGCCAGAAAAATCCCATTGACTAATACATTGTAAAACAACAAAAAAGAAATGACAGTCTATTACTACGTATGTATTTTATAATACATACACACTGAAAAATAATTTATTACTACATATATAATCCACAATAATTATAATGTTGGGGTCCCCAGTGGGACTCGCCTCCCCCAGCCCACACAGGCAGCCTATTGGACTATGTGTCCTTCCATTTCACATCCCACCTCCTGACCAATACTTCCTGGGATCCAATAAATGATTTACACTCCAAAAAGAAAATAACTGGCTGGGTGTGGTGGCGCACGCCTGTAATCCCAGCACACGGGAGGCTGAGGCAGGAGGATCGCTGTGAGCTTGAGACCAATCTGGGCTACATAGTGAGTTCCAGGTCAGTCTCAACTACATAGTGAGACCTTTTCTCAAAAAAAACAAAAAAGAAAAGAAAAGAACTGTCATCATAGTGCTGTGCCTATCTCCAGCTTACTTGCTTTTTTATTTGGGTACTTGATATTAAAACATCATCAAATAAAGATGGGTAATATTATAAAACTACATACAAGTCAATTCTGAGATTGTGGACATATAACCCTAATTCAGTTTCCATAATACTAAAAAGAATTTATATGCCTATTTTGCATATGTATATGAATTTGTATTTGTAAACATACATATATAAAATACATTTTTTGTACTGGACATGGAATGCAGGACCTTGCACTTGTATGGTAGGTGCGGTGCCACTGAACTAAATCCCTGGTCCTCAGGCATTACATTTTAATTATATTTTATATTTTAATTCTAATATACAGTTGGAAAAGAGTCCTTAAGAATATTCACCACAGATTCCTTATCATTTAAGAGACATGATAAAAGATATGGTGAAATTTAAATTTTAAAATATTTTAATTTTAATTTAGTACATGGTGAGAGATATGGGTCTAGATTCAATCTTCTGCATGTAAAATTGAAAGAGAAAATCTAGTCAAATTAATTTCAATTTCATCTGAATTGCAAATAAAATCTTTGCTACAAAAAAAAAACGTTGTGATAGTTTTTAGTTGCACTGTCCTGGCTTCCTTGATGTCCTGAATCCATTCAAAAGTTTACCTCTAATATCATTCATTTTGACTTTGGGGAAGAGCCAGAAGTAGGCAGAGTATTTTGAGGGGGATTAATGGCAATGGATCTTTTACTGTAATCTATTTTTAAAATTTAAACTTTCACTGTATATTTTGATCACAACACATATTTGGTTTGCTTACTGTAAATCAAAAATATGGCATTAATTAGCAGGCATCAAGGAGAATTTGGCAGTCTTGTATGTTTCTAAGTACACCCCAAAGTTAAGTATAAATTATTCTCGTGTTCTTTGCTGTTCTATTTGTTTGTTTGATGGTTTAAGCAAATACTGTTTATCTGTTTGGAGGAGGGAGCATTTACTGGGTGGTCTAGTTATTCCATACCTGAAAAATGCCTTCTTCCGTGGGTCTTAGTGAATCCCACTCAGGAGAATCCAGGAACTGAAAGGGGAAAATGTAGTGCAGAAACTCGCCATCGACTGTCACTCTGATCCTATCAAAATACAAGAACATCATTTATGGACGAAAGACAGAATACAAAATAGGGTGGGGAAGTAGGAAGGGAAATGTACTTCAGATCTCTGGTGATCTTTTTGTCCTTTAGAGTTCTGAAGGACAAAATATTAAATTTATTGAGTATTACACCATATCCTGTGAGATTCATAGATGATTCAGTGAAACTCACCAGAAAATTCAAGTTGCACATTTATGTGTCCATTTATTTGTGCATATTATAATTCTATAAAAACTTCAATACATTCCATCAAGACTTTTAAATTAGGCAGAACATTTAAGAACATACAGAAGATCTGCTATGTAAACTAAAGTTTTAACTTTTTAAAAACATTAATAAATATATTGTTGTTTCCTCCCCCAACATTTAGATTTCTATATTTATTCTTGAGGTTCTCCTTCCTGCTTCCAATAAGTGGGCAAATGCTAAAACTTACTGAATAAATTTGATAATTATAAAATAGAAAGTTATCTGACACAAGAATGCTTTATCAAAGAGTCTATTTAAAATAATTTACACACCAGCCTAAGTATCCTTTTAACTGAAGCTGGCACCACACTTTTCTTGGCTTTCAGTAATTATTTAGGGAACAAACATCATGTCCAGATGAATTCATACTTTAGTTTGAAGTTCCACATTATTTAATTTCTAAATCAAAAAGTAAGAGTCTAGATTGCTTTCTGCTCCAAGTAAATGATTCTACTCTAAATCCATGATATCTGTTTCAAAGACTTTCCCAAGGGTGCTATGTGAGTGACTAGCAAAGAAACACAAATGATTAATACAGAGGAAAGACATGGAAGCACCAAAGGGTACACACCTTCCTGAGACAAGCAGGGAGAGTTTATCAATGGAGGTTTTCCCCTGCATGGCATAACAATGCTCCTTTTCCAGAGTAACCACTTCAGAGCTCAGAGCAATCGTTCTGAAGACAGGCAAAGAGATCCCCAGGGGTTGGAAAAGGGAGCTGTACAGCACCTGGAATTCTCGGGCAAAAGTTATGCTGCGAACTTGATATGCAATATGAACAAATTGCATGAAGCAGATGACAAACAGTACAAAATTCCAGGAAAATATGTCGGCAGCACAGACATCTACCCATGCCCACACTGCAGAGCAGAGAAAACCCAGCCCCAGCAAACTGAAGACATAAAGGAGACCGAAGAATCCACTGCCACCCATGAAACCTACTACAAATAAAATACTGGCAAGATGATAAATGGCTCCTTCAGCCTCTGGCTTCCAGCTTGTACAGACTGGGTGCTCATCTATTAGGTTCTTCCATAGGCTTGAATTCTTTTCCATGGCTGTACTACTGTCTGGTTTCATTTTCAAATGACTTTAGATGCTATGACACAAGTAATTAAGGATTTTGCTTTTCCATCATCAGAGTTTTTCTCCATCGTCACAAAACCAGAGGAAGCCTAGATGCCAGCGTTGGCAGGGATTAAAGTTTCAGTGGGTATGGATCTTGAAAAACTAAGAATCCCATGCTAATTTCAAGCTCATTCATCCCGGCTTCTGATTTAGACCTCGTCCACAAATATTCTGCTATATCCTGTGCAAGAGACAAAAAAAGGATAAACGATCTAATTAAACCAAAAGAATGAAGAAGTACTGTACTTAATGACTCAACATTACTTATGCAAAGTGACCTCCTATTTTCTATGGAGTTAGAATATTTTAAGTACAAATGTTGCCAAGTGTTAATTAAATTTCTATCATAGAAAAGCATTTTTATTAGAATTAGCTAGCTACCTATTTTTCAGGGTAGCTGAGTACTCTATAATCAGCTAGTCTCTACAGCAGTGTTTGGTGCCCCAGAGTCACTTGAGAAAATGACTAAAACTGCAGTTTCACAGGCTATTTCCAGATACACTTAATCAGGATCACTCAGTGCAGGGCCCAGGTGTTCGAATTTTGAACAAGTTCCTCATGTGATGTGATGGATGAACTCATGATCTTCCATGTCCCACCCACTAGAGGGTGACTAGCTGATGCTATACAATTCACTCTTTGCACATGAAGCTCTTGAGGCTCAGAGAGACAAAGTGATTTATCTGAGGACACACAGAGGTCAGTCATAGAGCTGAACCTGGGTACTTGGCGCTGGTGTGCTGGATCTGAACGTGACAGATGTTTTAAATCTGATGGTAAAAGGAGCTCAAGTAAGTCAATAAATGTAAGAAACATAATTAAGAGTCAGATTTCAAGAACACATAATATACTATGAAAATGCCTCATTGATTTAAATTATTTGAAAAATAAAGTTAGTATCATTATGTTTATTTATTTATTTTTCCTCATTGAGTTCATCGGTACATTTTAGGTATACAGTACAGTTACATTATTGGGATCTTGTACCTTTACATGACAGGTCTTAGTTCTCATTTTTTCCCCTTGTCCCTGTCCTCCCTTCACCCCTCCTCCTTCCCCCTTTACAAACACTTCATTTCCATTTCTTCATTTTCTCATATTTTTCTTTTCCCTTATTAGCTTTCCCCTATCCTTCCCACTTTCCCTACACTTTTAGCCCCTTTCTTCCTATTTAGTATCATTTTGTAGTATTAATGGTTATTTCAGGTTAAAGGTTGCATCCATATTACTAAATACTACTTCTCCTGCTACTTAGATATTTACTTAGCAGATGGTCGAAAATGTTACTGACTCTGTTCTTCAGCACATATATTCTCTACCCTTTCAGCCATATGGTAAAAATGCTAATATGTGATCTGAGTCAGGAGAGAATTAGCCATGATAATGGGACTGCAGGATATATGTATCGTTTACCATCAGCTTTCCTAACAATAAATGGTTGCAACGGAAAGGATTGATTGGGTTTATTTTTTAAAGACACAGTAATGTTCAAAAGCCTTGAACGTGTGTGCTATATTTAGTGTTTTATTTTTGAAATAGATTACTCCCAGAACACCTGTTAATAAAGTATTGGATATCATAGAGCTTGTCCCATAGAAATAAAACACTACACACACAGAGGTGAAAATGACTTAGCGGGAATAAAAGGGGAGCCGTGTAAACACCCACTGAACTAGAAATGGAAATAAAAAGGCTGCTGCTGTTGAAGTTTCTGGTTCTTCTTCTTGGTTAGTGATTCTTTTCCCCAGCAAGTAATGACTTTAAGAACACTGCCAGGATGAGAGGAAAAGGGAAGAAGGAAGGAGAGAGGGAGAAAAGAGTACTTAGACATACAGCTTACAGTCATATTGGTACTTGTATATGTTGTCATACACATTTCAGGTATTATCTAGATCCCTGAGAGATCTATACCCACCATCTGCACGATCTTGAGATCACAGATTTTTCTCTTCTAAACAAAATACAAAATTCTATACTATCAGTTTGTCACAACAAAGAAGTTTTTAAAATTGCAATGAGTACCAAGAACTATGAAATGCCGATCTGCAAATGTCAGTCTCCCTGCTGTTTTACTTTTAAAACTAGGGTATTTTTAAATCAATCAATTCTTCAGGATACTGAACATAGCCAGTATTGAAAAGAATTGCTATTAGAGCTCTGAACTTTGGTTTGAACTTACTTAAAAATTTATAATCCTCAATAAAATGTTAAAATGAAGTTAATAGGGAAAGGCTATGTAAAATGTTTGTGGTAATTCAGAAGGGAACTTACGGAAATCTTGTCCTCTTACAAATCTTGACCAGGGGGACATTTTGGGGGCCCTATATTCCAAAAGTGTGATCCAGTAGGATGTAAGAGGAACTGTGCTTCCGGCCCAGCCCTTCTCAGTCTACTGACTCATTAAGCTGCTACCAAACCATCTTTCTATCCTTGATACTGTATTGCTCAAGCATGCTGATGTACCCTGATTAAATTACTCCACACCCAGTCTTTCTGCACTTGGTGTGTTTTTATTCCATCACCATAACAGATGTACTTTATTAGAAGAGGGGGAACTGACAGGGGCAGGTGATGAGCAGAAGCAGTCCTCTGGTAAGTGCCAGCAGCACTGTGTGAATGTTGAACATGATTCATCGACCAACTGCCAGCCCTGAAGGCCCTTAAGGCCTTAAGTTGTGTTTGTGTGTAAATAAATGGTGAAATGCCAAAGGGGCACAATAGATCTTTTCCCACAGCAATAAAATTGATCTTCACTGCAAAAGAAGTTAGCACAATGAGCTACAAATGATGGAGACAAAATCCAGTACAAATTAAGACAATGGTTCCAGATCATGACTCCCCCCTTTCTTTTTATAATTGTAAGACTGTGAGCTATAAAGGAATAGAAAATGTAAAGAAGATACAAAGATGTTCCGTGAAAGGCAATACAGACCTGGTAGTAAACTGATGATTAGCTCAGAAACTGCACTTATCTCTTCAGGACTTTTACATTTATTATCTGATTTTATCACATGCATTGCTCACAGGAGGCAGAATCTAAATCATCACGCCCAGCTTACAAATGAGAAAAGCAGGATGCAGACTGGTGAAGTCCCTGGATTAAGGTAAACGAGTGATGTGTTATAAGTCACATCCAGGCGGGTGGAAACTCTAATCCCCCTCTACCCAGCCTCACCCTTACCAGCAGGCAAAACTGCCTCTCAGGGCTGTGAATCAGGCAGTATGAATGCACTGGGAAACCAAGTAGACTATTCCTCCAGGACTGGTTAGTCAGGAAAATAAAAACCTTATCGTGGATATTTGAGACATGCTATGCCTCTTTGAACTGCTCAATCCATAATGCTTAGAACTCTGCTGGAGACACAGACAGCCACTTATGAGATAATTTGCTATATTATTGTTTAACACTGACTGATTCCTCTGTTGGACACTGAAATTCTAAAGGGCAGCAGGGGCAAAGACAAACAGTTTTGTGTGTCTGACTCCTGGCTCTCGCTGAATGTTGATTGAATACCTGAGGATACAAGTGCAAGCAGTCTGCCTTCTCCAGCCCCCACCTCCCACACAGGAAGTTCTGACATTTTTTGTTCCTCAGGGGAACAGAAGTGAGGAGAATACATACCTCCAAGATATTTCAGTACACACACAATGAAAACTTGGGGTAACATATTTTCAAAATCTCTGGCACACCCCCGAAGTCACAGGGGAATCTTTTTGTCTGCTTACAACCTTGAGCTTCTTAAGAGCAGTTTAATTACTGCTTTGATAAAAAACAACAACTCTGGTAACCAGTTGTATTGAGTAAGTTTTGGTTGCTAGGCAACGCACCAGCTCAAAATTCCATCAATATTCTACTCATTAATTAGCATCAAATCCCAACTTCAGTATGTGTTCCATATGCTAAATCCTCATCTTCTTATGCTGTTTTTTTTCCCCCTACTTATCCTCAAGGTGGTCTATTCACTCAAGTCTATGCCAGACATATTTAAAAAATGATCTCATTTAACAACCCCATGAGGAAGGTATTATTATCTTCATTTTACAGATGAGAAAACTGAAATTGAGAGAAAGTTAAGAAGTTGTTCAAGGTTACTCTGCTTATAATGGAACTAAGATCCCAACCACATATGCCTATTCCCCAAAGTTTACAATCTATTCCATATTACTTTGCTTCCACTATGCAGAACGATATAGATTCAGCGAATGTGTAGACCTTAGTTTCCTTGGTGTTACCTAGGTGAACATGGGTATGTTTACTCAAATCCATAAAATACAGGAAGTATCATCTATTCTAACCACTTAACATAGTACTAGAAGAACCAGAAGAGAAAATTATTTGAAAGCCTTGGAAAATTTTTAAATAATATAGAAATAGCACCACTATACTTGTTGCTTGAATATTACAGAGCTGGACTTGTAGAGACAAAATCCAGTGCAAATTAAGACAGTGGTTCCAAGATCATTCCCCCACTTTTTTTTCTTTTTGTAATTGTAAGACTGTGAGTTTTAAAGGAATAGTAAAGAAGATACAAAGATGTTCCGTGAAAGGCAATATAGACCTGGTAGCAAACTGATGATTAGCTCAGAAACTGCACTTATCTGTTCAGGACTTTTACATTTATTATCTAATTCTATCACATGCATTGCTCACAGGAGGCAGAATCTAAATCATCACGCCCAGCTTACAAATGAGAAAAGCAGGATGCAGACTGGTGAAGTCTCTGGACTGAGGTAAACAAGTGATGTAAGTCACATCCAGCCGGGTGGAAGTTCTAATCCCCCTCTATAAATATTCTTCTTTACCCCAGATGATTACAGCTGAAGACAGACAGGAAGATGAACCATTTTGGTTGCTGTCAGTCTTTATATTATAAATTCTAAATTTACTCAGTCTTGCAATGTGATCTCTGTTAACCTTCTCCCCTATCTGTCCCATATTCTGACTTCCTATTGGTGGTAGATATAGACCAATAACCAACCCACCTATCTTCATTTTCTTGAGGTCACAGAGGCAGGCTCTGGAAGCCTAGAGTGATTTTCTACCATACTGTGCACATATAGTGGTTCTCATCAGATGTCCTCAAATCATTTACATCAGAATCAACTTGGCCCTTCTTGAGCCTCCGTTGGAATAACTGAGCCAGACTCTCTGGGGTAGGACCCAGAAGATCCCTCTCAGAGAAGCCCCCAGTTGATTCTCATGCACACTGAGCTTTGAGAGCCATTATTTTATGTTGTTCCTGAATGATCTCTGATTTACCCCTGCTTACCTCAGCTCTGTCCATTCCTAGCTGGCCCGAATCCCTGCTGATTACTCTTTGTGGTGCTCTCTGGTTCTGGCTGTCAGTGGGAGGCATTGGTGTGAGCTCACCACCCATCCTCTGGGCTAGATAACTGGCATTCCTTCCTTCAAAAAGGCTCCTAGTCTTAGCTGTGTCCCTCAATAGCTGACTGATTGTAACATTCCTAGACCTAGTCTCTCACTAGTAAATGAAAGAAGATGATTTATCTCTAAAGTAACATGAATCTTTATTATTTGGAGTGGAAGATTATTCCAAACATGGATCAAAACACAGAGCTGGATAGCAGAGCTGGCTGCAAGTCTTGATACCAGGCTTATGACTGAAGCTGGATTCAGAGACTGTTACTTAATTAACCTATTGTGTTGCCCAGGTGCTGGCCTTTTTTTCTCCACAAACTGATTCTGATGTGCAACTACTAGGGTTAAGAATTATGAACCAGGGCTGGAGACACAGCTCAGTGATAGAACGCTTGCCCAACATTGGTTTGAACCGGGGATTTAGCTCAGTGATGCCACTGACTTCCTCACAAGCACAAGGACCCAAGTTTGGTCCCAAGTACCAAAAAAACAAACAAACCAACCAACATTGGTTTGATTCCCAGCACTACAAAAGCAAAACAAAAACCTCTTTAAAAAAAAAAAAACAAACTATGAACTAACAGATAGGGGAGGGGGCAACAAAAACATTCAGCAGGATAAAGGATCTGGGTGTTAATCTTTATTTTTAAGGATTAGAACGGTGCATTTTTCCCTTGAGTACTGCAGTAACTTGGAGTTTAAATGTCCCCCCAAAGGCCCATGAATTAAAGGCTTAGTCCCCAGAGGGGCACTCTCGGGAAGTGGTAGGAGCTTCACAAGGCAGGGCCTGCGGATCACAGACCCTTCCTCTCTTTCGCTCTCCCACTGTCATGAGGGGAGTGGTTCTGATTCTCCACATGCTCCTTTCTGGGACACACATGCTCCTTTTTGGGACAAGCGCCCCAAAGCAAAGCAATCATGAACTGAAGCCTCCAAAACAGAGCAGAAATAGGCCTTTTCCAAGTTGATTTATCTTAGGAATTTATCAGAGTAATGAAAGCCGGCTAACATATATGTTACACTGGAAGGAAGAAATGAAAGGATCTACTGAGACAGAGGAACAGAGAAGAGCTAAAGACATTTTGGAATTACATAAGATCTGGAAGTGAGGAAAGAAATCATAGAAAAAGAGAATTTGGTTGTAGCCATGTTTAATCAGGTGCTCTTGGTCTAGTGGAACTCACAGAAGAAGGGGTAAGAAAAAAAGATTTAACAGGGAACACCGCCAAATAAAACCTGAATTTTACAAGATTTTCCAGAAACTGAGTATAGGGGAAATGAGGGCTGAAGCTAAAGGCCCTGGATGATAGAAATTCAGAGCTACAGAGTCCAATACGTAGCTGTTGGCTGCCTGTGCTGCTCACTACCTGACATGGGGCTTGTCTGGATGAAGATGTGTTGTTCACAATGAATTTCAAAGACAGAAGTAAAGGACATGTTATTAATTATTTTTATGTTGATTGTATCTGGTGATAGTGGCTTAAATGAAACCCATTATTAAAGCTATTTTCACTTGCTCTGTTTTAAAAAAATTGCTACTGGAAATTTAAAAATTATATATGTGGCTGGCATGTTATTTCTATGGGACAATGATGGTTTAGTGGCTCTAAGTAACAGAAAAATTGCTACTGGAAATTTAAAAAATATATATGTGGCTGGCATGTTATTTCTATGGGACAATGATGGTTTAGTGGCTCTAAGTAACAGGAAATGAGAAGACTTGGCATCGTGTTGTACAAATGTGTATATTGCATACAAAATATGTATAATTCATAAGTGTATACATATGGACAAATTATCCAAGATCATACACAGAATTGATATAAATGTAAATGACACTGGCTACAACATTCATATGCCATAGTCGGTCAGATTTTACCGAAGGCAGAGATGTCACCATCTGGCTTCTGCCTACAGAGGTAGCCAACTCTTTAGAGCTCTTGGTGCCTGTACCCTACCAAAGGAAGCATACTTTTTCCTTCTGCCTTAGGAGAGTTCCAGTTTCCCACGCAATTATATTAACTGGTTTAATTTTTTCATATCATCTTCTGATGATATCTCATAGGGTACACTGGAAAATTTTATACAGGAGACTATATTGTGTTCTTCTGGATGTCATAGGATCCATGCCAGCTTTTGCTGCCACATGCTGCATGAAGAGTCTTCATGTATCACTGGTCATGCAGGCTGGAGTATGCCTTTGACCCTCCTTACCAGTGAGAGCTTGAAGTCTCCTTGAGAGGTTCAGAGAACGTTGCCACAGGCTATGTTGGCCTTTTCTGGTTCTCAGGTCTTGGCTGAAGTCACATTTGATTATCTCTAACCATGACTGATCTCTTACTTTATCAAACACTGCAGTAGGCAGAATTCTAAGATGGCCCACAACTCCCAGGTATAACTGTCTCTCCTTGAGAGTAGGCAAAACCTGTGAATGGGACAGGATGTCCCCTTAATTAGGCAACATTATATGGCAAACTGTGGAACAGTCCTTCCTATGACTATGTTAAATCCTGACTCCACCACAGGACTGAAGAGGGAGTAGGAGTCAAACATGTGCTGCCACAGGTGAAGGAAGGCAAACATCTACCCAGGGTATGAACTACCTAAGGGGTCCCCAAGGACAAGACCTGCAGGCAGCTTCTCTGAGCAGCAAGAAGTCCCTAACCGACAAGGTGACTGGCAAGGTAACTTGGACCTCTGTCCTGTCACCACCAGGAACTGAATTCTTCCAGTCACCCAAGGGTCTGGAAAAGGACCCCAAACTCCAAAGGAGAAGTACAATGTCTACCGCCTTGCCTGCAGGTTTGTGAGGCCTCAGGCAGCAGGTCCAGTTCAACAGTTCTTTGTCTCCTGACCCACAAAAACTAAAAATAAATTTGTGCTGTTTTAAGCCACTAGATTTGTGGTAATTTTTTTTACACAGCAACAGAACTAATCACACACATAGAATTATGACTACTCACTATACTTGAGGTTTTTCATTAAGCTAATAATCTATATTATAGACAAACTTAGAATACTGGCCTATGAGATAGTGGTTACAGACTCCATGGTAGACGTAAATCAAGAAAATTGGCTAAGAACGGTTTCTCAGGAACACCTGGAAAATAAGACACGAGGAGAGGTCCTGGGGATTATTTAAATCACGGTGGTTCCCAGCCACACTTTAGAGGTAAGTTTTCCCTTCACGGAGCTAGGTGGCCCCAATGATGTTAAGCCCTGGAACACAAGGGTCACTTTCCATTCAGAGTTAGGACATTCATGTGCCAACCCGTAAAACTCCTGGAATAGTATGTTCCCTTCGTTGACTTTCATGACAGTTCTTCGTAAAATTCAGCCATACTGATTATGTAAAGACTCAATGTTTCAGACACACTCTGAGACTGACACTCAAAATACAGCGCATAATTCAAACTTAAATAGCTTTGTAACTCTCCAAACTGTGTGACTTCACCCAGGTAAGATGAGCTGAGTGATGAGAAATTAGTGCAATATCTGGTGGCCATTTTCTCAGTCATATGCTACTACCAGCCTCTAGCACAGTTGTGGCAAATCTATGGCATGCATATTATTGTGGTTTACTTTTAAGACAAGAGATGTTATTGTAGAATTGTTTTTTGTTTTTGTTTTTGTTTTTCCTAAACTAAAACATCAGGATTCAGGTTTAATTGCAGTGTTGGTACTTTGCAATAAATAAGTGGGTTTGGGGTTACAGTTTGGCACTTGGACTCTAAAAGGTTCACCATCACTGCTGTAGCACTTACTGAGTCCTTAATGTGTGCTGGGAATGTTACTGAAGATCTTAAAATAGTATGTCATTTAATCTTTACAACTTTTTGAGGTAGTTTTTTGGTTCCCAATTTACAGATAAAAAAACAGGGAGGTTTAAAAGATTACACAAATGATAGAGCAGATTTAATTTAGTCAATATGATATGCTGCTTCACATACAACTGCGTCTAAATATATGGATTTAGTGGAAAAAGTCAAACAACACTCTTATTTTCTCCCTTCAGTTTTAGATTTTAGTAACTAAAATGTCTTCTTAAGAGCCTACGAGTTTTCTTTTTCCCCACTGTGGTACTGGGGATTGAACCCAAGGAGCACTGAGATATAACCCTAAACCTTTTTATTTACTTTTAAATTTTGAGACAGGGTGAGTTAACTTGAACAGGCTGACCTTGAACTTGCAATTCTTCTTCAGCTTCCCAAGCAGCTGGATTACAAGTGTGTCCTGCCACACCCAGCCAAACCTGCAGAGTTTTGAGCCACAGAGGACAGGATGAAGGGCCAACAGTTGAGTCACTGAACCATGTAATTCCCAAAACCATTTGATTTGAAGAAGCAGCAGTAAATCTCTCCTCCTGCCATTCAATTGCTTTAAATAACTGCCAGGCTCTATTTGAGTTTTTTCTGGCTTCTCCACATCTTGAAAATGGTTAAAAGTACAAGCAGGAACTGTTCCCTTTTTAGCAGCTGCTATGACATCACGTCATTATGCTTACTGGAGAGCAATTCCCACCTTCCCAATGAAGGACATAAGCTAAGCAGTCATGTGAAACATTCTGTTTTTCAACACAAATTAACAGTGGACACCTGCATTTCCCGTTACACTGAGTGACCTATATGCAGCAAATACATTCACTTTTTCTATGTTTTGGCCCGGTTCTCAGGTGTCTTTCTGGCAATCAGCTCTGAGGAGATCACATATGCTAATTAGCTAAAATCTTTTTCTTCTTTTCTGGCTAAACAGCCAGGTGGACCACATACCTGGATCAGGGGGTTACTTTTGGCCTGTAGTCACAACTGGACTCCTTTAGTACAGAGATTGGTGGGTATCATTCTTATTGTCCCAATGACATGACGCTTAGCATTTCTATACTACTTTTAATTAACTACAGTCTGTTCTGCTGTAAGACAGACCCTATGTGATGCCCCCCCAAAAATCACTGCACAAACTGTTCAATAAAAACAACATGGCTTAATGAGAAAATGGGGTTAGAAATACAACACTTAAAATCTTCACCAGTAACACCTTTTTAAAAAGAAGGAATAAAAACAATAGCACAGCTTTATATATATTATATCTATGTTAAATGGCTGCAAACACAGTACTGAACCTTTAAAAAGACTCTCAGCTTGCTTAGAGAAAGGCTGCAGTCTGTAAGTCACTGTGAAGCGGTAGAAGTAACAAAAACTGCTGTCTTTCATAGCCTTAAATTCTGGGGCATTTTTTCCTACCCTTGAAAGGTCAGTTCTGGGAAGTATGAATTTCTATTAGATACCTGTCTCAACAGGATTGAAATTTTGTGTAGCCATCTCTAACTGACTTTTGTTTTAGCTCAACAGAATTTGACTAGTGATGCCTGAAACCACGGAACCAGCCATAGCCAGGGTTGTTGGCCTGAGTTTCCTTGTATGGCATTCAAATAGGCCAGCGCCTATTCTTTCAATGTGAGAAAGACTGTTCATAGTTTAGTTCTCAATCCACACACCCAGCAATATTTTCATTTCATCTGTTTCTTTAAAACTGGTTGTTACCTCATGTTTTATTCCCGCCACAGACTTTTACTTGATTTTTGCAGCACTGCCTCTAACGATCTGCAGTGTGGATTATTTCCTTATTCTTGCCGCTTGGGAGCTACCACATAAGTCTCTTGATTTTTTTCAACACTTAATTACTTCCAGCTTCTTTTCAATGTTAAAGCTTTCCTTTTGCATGCACTATTCGTTTGAATCAATGCTTAGACATGTTTGGGATATTAAATGAGCATGTTTTTATACAGGAAAGGTTACAAGTGTGAAAAAAACAGCAAAGCATGACCTTGGCGGATAACATGTGGTGAACCATGGTAGATGTCTGCAATCCTACATGGTTTGGTTCAGCTGCTCATAGTTCAGTGTGTTCACCCTGTCTTTTCATGGAGCAAATCAAACATGAGCAAACAAGAAAGCATTCTGCTCAAACTGTTTCCTAGGATATCAGTTGTGTTGGAACATGCTTCATTTCAAAACATGTATCACAACATGACTGACCATATTATTAACTCTCAAAGAGCTGGTAAAATAATGCAAAAGTTCAAATCCCTGATCTGTTGGAGCCTGAAGTTTAGTGAAACTCAAATAACGTCAACACTATGTAAGCCCGGTTTCCAAATTATGAGTTCTATTTTATTTAGTGAAAAGTATACTTTAAATAAAAATAAGCTACTTACAAATCACTTAAAATCAGTTGTTGCATACTAAATTTTAAATAAAGGTTTCATTTTAAAAGAGAATCTAGAATCTTAAAAATAAAAAAATCAAACAGACTTAAAACATCAAAGACCAACAAAACTACCCAAATTCCCAAACACTGAATGTGCCAATCAAGAAGCATATATCTGTTTCTGCACAGCAAAGATTTAGAGGATTATCCAGAGATAAACTAGTTCACATGTAGTATTTCTCCTTTCTAAATCTTGAGCAACAAAACTAACCATGCCTAAAGGCTATACTGAAATTCCTGCACTTACCATCCAAAAAACCTATCATTTTCTTATGGATTTAAGTATAAAGGCATAATTTACACAAAACTGAAAAAAATTCACTGTATAATCAGTAAGATTCATCCTCCTAGTAAATTTATGAAAACATTTTATCAGCACATTGACCTTTTAATTTCTTGCCATGCTGACATAACTACATATATTAATAGTGCAATTTAAAATACCTGATACATCTGTAGCTTCAAAGGTTGTTTTAAGATCTTAGTTCCACAAAGATTTTGATAAATATTAACACTTCAGTGAAGTATTTTTTTTTCATTAAATTTCTTTAGTTACACAGAAATCAGTCCTTGGTATTGGCTGACAGTACCCATGGATGTGGAAATTAGATCTTCCTTTTTAAAAGCAAGTCCAGGGTTATGATCAAAGAGCAGAACAGCATGATGCAATAAAAGTGCAGAAGTAGACACAAAAGAACCTGGACTGTATTCCTGGCTCTGGCATTTAACTTCTCTGGGACTCAGTTTACTTCCTTGAAAAATAAGGAGTGTATGGTCTCAATGCCAGGGGACACATTAATGACTCCCACAGGAATCAGCCACCAGAAAGGAGTGAAATATGGCAAGGGGAAGCCACTGGACTACAGAACCCTCCTAAGCTCCAGCCAGCGAGGTGAGCCCAGGGTCGTCTCATTGTTCTGGAAAAAGCAGAAATCTAGATTTTTATGGGACTCTCCTGATTTTAAAGTGTTGGTAAATAACATGTTTACAAACACTGTCAGGGCAACTGTTAAACAGGCAAACCTCTAAGGCCAGATCTGGCTACAGCTGCCAATGAGCGGCTTTCAGAACTAAGAACTCCTAAGTTCCTTACTAGGGGAAATAAATCTAGACTAAACCAACTACATTTACATCTCTTTATGGTTAGTTTTCTGGTTTCCCAACAAAATTTTATTGTCAAGGTACTCTCCCCCAAAGTGAAATTAGAAATTTTATAGTAATTCCTTTCCTACCTTAACAAATATTGGACAGACAGTCCACTAGTTGACAGGTTTCCATAAGTTACCAAGATTTCATTTAAAGGTGAAAATGAACACAAAGAACAGAAAACAAAACTTACATTTTATAACAAGCTACAAAGCCAAACAGACAGTTTAAACATGTTTGTGTTTATCTTTTCTTCT